ACAATTAGGTTAGATTCTAAAAAATAACATCCATTATTAATCAGGTACATTTTACTATGAATACGTCCAAGTCTCTAAGATAGCCTAGTACAATGCCATGGGCCCATGGTTCAACCATGGTACCTAGTGAGGCTGGCGGCGGATGGTACAATACTGGTTCTGGTTACTAGAAGGTAGGACTGGACTGTATTTTGATGTAGTGCTGCAGTTTTTACTTTTTAGATTGTAGAATGTCACGTGATGAAATTTTTATGTCTTTCGCATTAGCTTTGTGACTCTGTCCATTACTGTGTCCAAGGTGAGGTGTTTCACATCACACATGTGACATGAGAAGGCAACTGGTCAAAGCCACAAATAAAATTGTTTAGAAGCCCCCCTGGCCTTCCCCATCGGACCCCATGGACTGTGAAATAGTCGAAACTACATATGGGATATGGCATACCATAACTACCATAACTCCATAAGCCCTGTATCAATTTTCATTCATATTTCATACCTTACCTGGTAGGCTAGTCTGGTAACCTGTTGTGAGAAATGCTAGAAAAATAAAATTTTGTACTAAAAGCATTCAGTTTTAGGCTTGAGGCTTCAATTGTGTTGAATTTGAAATGTTATGGTACAAGCCCGAAGCCCCAAGTGGCACTGTGGCCAAGCCTGCGGCTGTTACCTGTAATTTGATCAATAATTGGATTATAGTATACATAGTGGCAAACCAGTGATTTTTTAGAATCAGTTCATTTTTAATTTTCTCATTTACCCAAGATTTAAGCCATTAAAGCTAATATCTTATGTATGATGATGCTGGTATCCATGATACTTTTTTGGTCTACTTATAGGACTTGAAATTGAACTTGAAGGAGCATCTAAAAAACTCTCTGCTTTGCCACTATGATAGTATATAATGTAGTCATTATTGTAGTGGCTGTGCTGCTTTGGCAGACAAGTGATTCTTTTGAATCTATTTCATTCTAATTTCCTCATCTAGGTACTTCAAAATTTTGTTATACTAAGTTATAGGACTAGGTAGAATACTTTTTCATATATGATATGATAGGGCTAGCTAAGGTGAACAGAGTAGGTACTGGGTGTTATAAGGCAAACCTTTGACTGCATCACGCCTGAGATCATAGTGGTAAACCAGTGATTTTTTAGAATCAGTTCATTTTTAATTTTCTCATTTAGGTACCCAAGATTTAGGCCATTAAAGCCAATATCTTATGACTTATGTTACTTATGTATGATGATGCTGGTATCCATGATACTTTTCTAGTCTACTTATAGGACTTGAAATTGAACTTGAAGGAGAGTCTAAAAAACTCTGCTTTGCCACTATGCCTGAGATCTTCATCCAGCTCTACAAATCCCTCGTTCGACTGATGCTTGAATATAGCCACTCAGTCTGGCAGCCAACTGAGCCAAGGCATAAGACTCTGTGCTCCAACCTGCAGGACGTTCAGAAGAGGGCAACCACGCTTATTGCAAGCCTCAAAGACAAGCCGTACCCAGAACACCTTGCCTTGCTTGTTCTACCCAGCTTGGAGCACAGAAGACTAAGAGGGAAACGATTGATGTTTTCAAGTACATCCACAGCGCCTACGAAGCTGACTGCCCCCAGCTGCGCCTTCACAACAGCAGAGATACCCGCGAGAGCCGGGAACAGCCTGAAACTCGCCAAGGGCCACTGCAGACTGAACATCAGAGCCAGCTACTTCTCCCAGTCCCACCAAGTCGTGTCAATATGGTACAGCCTGCCGGACAGCGTCATCACTGCCCCCTCCATTAACGCCTTCAAGATCAGGCTTGACAAGCACTGGGTGACATGCAGAGAACTGTATGACACAAAATGCTGTCATTAGCTCACCTTTTAGCACTTCTAGACTAAATGCTAGCCACGCATGCCACAAATAGTCAAGAAGCAACCCAACCAGGCCAAATAGTCAAGAAGTAACCCCCCAACCAGGCGTGGTGAACAGGCTGCATGGCCTTTTACACTGAACTTATCAGGTAGCTATCAAGTATAATGTATAGTTGTATGATAGTACTCAATACATCTACCAATGCTAATCTACTATCAATACAAATTGCCAGAAGGGCCCAGACTACCAGTATGCCACTAACATTGCTACAGCACTTTTGTCACTTGCATTCAAATGCAATGATCTATTTTATGAACAATATACTGAACCACAACTTTCTAGCATGATCTGAAAAGCTTTTCAGTTATTTTGTGGCAATCAAACCCTACAAGTTGTAGTTCTGATCAGTATTATACAGTTTTCAGTAATAAATGGCAAGGTATATTCTTTTGTGCAGTTTTTGCTGATGCTGAGTGGCAACTTATATATCTGTAGTCCTGTATAAATTCTGTATGATATTCTGGATCATTTGGCTTGTTATAGTTATAAACTGCAACAACACTTGAGTTTATATACCGTATGCTGTCAAATGAGGTACTACCTAATAAGGGACGGGCAGGGTAAATTGGGACAGTCATCTCACATTTTGTAGAAATGTTGTAGCAACAAAACTAATCAAAATATTGCAAAACTGAAAATAGGGACGTACAATTCAACATTTTTACTAGGTATCTATGTAGCATAGAGCAAGTTAAGAAGTAATACATTTACTACCTCTAAAAAATCCCTGAAAAAAAGTGTGAAAAGGGAGATTATGGAAAAGTACCTTCATTAAGGTCTGTAGTAAAACAAATATTTAACATATTAAAAAATTTACCATGTGTAAAAGTTGCACACAGGTGTTGGCTTAAAAACGTGATTGAGGGAATTTGCTTATCTCATTTATAAAAATGGTGACATTTCCACAAGACTGGGTAATAAGGGACATCCTCCCCTGGGGTAATAAGGGACACCCATAGAACTGCATTTACAGTAGAACCTTGATTAACAAAGACTACAGTTAACAAGAAATTTTGATTACATTTACCTTGCTCAGCAAAAAAAAAATTCACAAAAAATTACTGCACCATCATCATCACAAAATTGTGCATAGAATGTCCTAGATAGAATTATGTACTGGGCAACATAGAAGGAAAAGTAATTAACCTAAACTATGATTTATTTCTCCAAAAAATATGATGGTTGTCACAAAAATATTTTTTCCTGTTTCAGGTACGGTATGTTTTTTACAATCTTTTTTTTTTTTTTGTTATAGTGAATTCACTTGACCCATTCAAAATGGTGTGAAATTAGAAGCCATCCTGTAAGCTTACAGATACTACAGAAGAAATGTTGCATGGCTGCTGATATGAAGCTTGCAGTGGACAAGGTTGTTGTCCGTGCTCAATGGCATGTCCATGGATACAGTAATATCACATCAATAATATGGTAATGTATGGATATTGTTATATCAAAGCAATAAAGGAAAAACAAGTAAAAATAACAGAAAATGTCTTTTATTCTACATGTACATCATTTACAAAGGAAGAGGAGGACTTCAGAGGACTGTTAGTAATGGTTGAGTACACTAAGCATGCTTCAAATGTTTTAAATTAGGTTTTATTTCAAGTATCCCAGATTACCCCATTCCCAGGGGTAATTAGGGACGCTTTTATTTTGCACCTGGCACCTTACAAATAGCATAAGAAATTTTTCAGAGATGCTATACAAAAGCGCTTGCAAAGGCCATTAAAATGAGCCCAAACTTGTAAATGAATTATTTCATGGTAAGAAGTTGTTAACAAAAAACTTTCAAACCCGTCCCTTATTATCCCGTTTGACGGTATTCAAAGATGTGATCTTGAGAATTATTTTATTACCTTAAAACTGTTGTTAACTTGTCAACCAATATGCACTTTGATATAAGTTAGATGTGCACTCATACGGTATACAATAATACAGCATGAGCATGTAAACACAATTGTATGTGTCAGAAACATGACAATATTAATATTTGTAGTAAAATATCCTTCAAGGTACAGGATACTGATTGAAGATTAAAAACAGACTTGCATTTCTTTTGATATATCAATCAAGGGTAACAAAAAGTTTATAAGATGTTTAAAATATTCCAATTCTTAACCTAAAAAGACAGCTATTTGCTTTATAATATAGTAGCAGTTTCATCTTTTATTAGGCCGTAGGCCTGTCACCAATTCTTAACATAGCAGAATATTCACAGCTTGTTGCGATCTCGAACATGCAACTCACTGCTACAATTCTGCTGTGCTTAACTGCCTGGACTCCTCGCCTATCCTGACCAGAAACTGGTGCACAGAGCTGGGATCGAACCCGCACCTCTCTGCTCCAATTTTGGTACTCTGAACTTTAAACACTGGGCCACCCTTTGGCAACTAATTTCAGGCAGTTGCAGTGTAGTAGCTTTGACTGATGAATAATTGGGGATATCTCAATCTAAAAAACCATGCTGTGCTGCCCAGATGAGGAATGGGTGTGGAGGTTGCTGTATGAATGAGCAATGGATGAATAGATCTTATTGCTAATTGGCCTGACTGTGGGAACAACTGTTGTTAATTTGATGTACCTATTAGGTTGTGAAAAAAATTCATTGGGAGTACCATGTGGCATGTGGTCTGTGAGAAGAGAGTGGCAGGAGTTACTGCCTGGAGAGTGTGCTAATAAAGAAATGATCGGATATTGACAAAAATAACAATGTAGTTGTATGTAAGGTACAACAATATTAACAATGGATTGCCTGATTACTATGAGCATAGAGAGGTTTTAGCCCATCAATTGCCATTTCAACCCTTTCTAATCAAATATTCACTTTTCTTACTTGTGTATATATATGTGCAGGTTTGATTGAAGACCAGAGCATATATTTTATTAGCAAATTTCTTATTATTTTTTTTATTAAGTCAAACACAATTTCTTGCTGGTATTGGGAGATCGAAAATCTTTTTGATATAAAGACAATAAGTAAATTGTTGATAAAAAGTATGATCTAGTCTTCAATCAAACTTGCATAAATGGAGAACTTCTGAATCACACTACATTATATATTTATGTATATGTTGCCATTTTACACTTGCAACAAATTTGGGTGCTAAAAAGTGAATAAATCCAAACTGTTGATCATTTTACTACCAGCCATTCCAAATTTTACTACCAGCCATCTTTCTGTTCCAAATTTACTGCAGATAATCTGCCAGGAGACAGGCTGCAAAGGTTGATTGAATCAATGGAGACTATTAATAATAAATTAGAACAAAATGGCTTGCAGCCAATAACCAAGCAAAATATTTTATATTATTACATTCCCATGGATGGATGTGTGGGATTTGTAATTCTAGGCTCACAAATGTTAAGTCCTGAATTCTACTCCAAGTTCAAGTTCCTGTAAGTATTGCATTCTTCTTAGTTAGGATTGGATGTTTTTACAATACTTGTCAAATTTCAATGACCTGTTTTCTGTTCATCCTATTGTGTGTCATGGTATATTTTATATTATTTTTTCACTATTAATTCTACAAATTGACTCAGTCATTTTGTTTGCAGCAATAATAATTTTGCTTAGTTAATTCTTAGGAAGAGAAATATATATTTAATATCTGAAATTATTCATAGCTCTAAACATTAGTGCTGATATCAAAATATCAAAAAATATTATTCATCCTAAATTAAATTGGACACAAAATTGATTTTAGTTGACTGAAAACCCTTAAATTCCCCTCATAAACCCTCCTAATTATATTTTTAATCTGTCAGAATGATTCCACGCACTGTTTCTCTGACCAATGCCTGCCTGGGGACATCGCTCTTGGGTTCAGCTTTGTACATCAGCTCCCGATCTCATATGAAGTCCTTACCAATCTCCCAGAAAATTTCCTACAGGTAATAAAATTATATCTCCTCTACTGCTAAAATTTGTTGGTAATGTGATTTGTTCCATGGAATATTGTAAAATTCATAATAGTTGTTCTTATTTAAGATTATTAAGCTTTCAATAAACTGCATAAAAACATTATAATTGTGTGTAACTTCTAATACTTCAATTGGAAATTGAATTTTCAAGCAATTTCACCCTTGTCAAATTTGTTTACAAATTATCATTTATCTAACCATGATTCCTGTATTGGTTAACAGCATTCTGGGTAGCTCGCTGCTGAACCTTGGTAGCGTCCTAGGCTGGGCACTGTGCCGCAGCTGGGTCAGTGGTGACGACAGTGCAGGAGGCTCAGGGGTGCTGCTGCGGGCTGTGGCTGGCGGTGTGGCTGCTGCTGGTGTCATCACTCTCGCTCGCTCTTACCTCAACTTTGTTGACGACCAAATTTCTAAAGCCAAGTAGTAACCTCAATGGCATTAGTGTTGCACAGCCCACTTTGTGGCAATAATGCCCGTGTAGTGAGAGCTCTGTCATGTTCTCCTGGCACTACTGTCAGCTAAGTCATCAGCCAATGGTGCTGTGACTCGACACAAGTATTTATTATGCTCATGGTTAGTTATTCGCTTTCCAAATACGATGTTGTGGTTCGAATTTATTGTCTATGCGCCGTATATTTCATTTTTTAGCGATATCTGAAATAACATATATCGACCAAAGATAAAAAAAATTTTGAGATGTTGCATTGGTTTGAGGAATATTATTGCTTTCAAGATCCCATAAACAAAGCCTTATATTGTACGTATCTATGGTTATTGACATCGGCATATATATAGGTTAATTCAAGTCCTGCGTTAATTTGTTCATTAAACTTACTAATGGATAAGTTAAACTTACTAATGGATAAGGTAGCGGGATTATTTCTCTGCATGTATAAAATTTACATCCTCCATTCCGCCAAAGACATTAATCGTCTACTCTTATTTTTGAACACACTTTTGACAATTTGTATCGAAGACGTCAAGTTACAATTATGTTGGACTTTACCACCAAGTTGGAAACCAAAAAAAACGAGATAAGAGATGCACAGTAATAAGGTCCTTAAGATAGAAGTAACAGCAAAGTTTTAGTTAGTAGAATAAAATATTTGTTTTATCTCTCATTACTCGTCACTTCGTGAAATGCTTTATGTTGCGAAGTTTCGTGATAGTAAAGTTTTGTGATGTTTGATTGTAAATACATTTTTGTGATGATACAAGTCGTGGTGACATTAGTCTATTATTTTCCTTAAGGCGGTTTTTTGATCAAAGATTCCTGGTAGCATTCATCAGCTCACTGCCCATTTGGCTGTTAGGTAACGGTTTATTTCGTTTAATCAAACCTCCCATGAAGAAAGCTTCAATTTCCATCTTATAGAGCGCTGATTTCGAGCTACGACCGACATATTGATATATTCTGGTGAAGGACCAAATTTTTTATTACTTACATATAGAATACTTTATGGATACGTAACACGATTCTCCATTAAAATCTATTAATTATTGTTTATAAGCGCTAATAATTTTTTATTGTCAAGATTGATTTTACAGGTTTTCTCTATTCTTTTGTGCCACGAAATAACGTTTGTCTCTTTACTTCAAAACCCGTCGAGCGCTTGCAACGAAATTCTCTAGATCAGTCCGAAATTCTTGGCTCGCTTTGAACGCTGTTGGACTGATTGGTCCACTCCGGAATACTGCATGCCGCTGTTTCTGGGCGCTCAGCAAAGTGGCAGTAAATATACAATTACCTTCTGTCTGTCCGATGATTCCAACTGGGGCGGCTGTCCTCGCGTTCCCTGAGTGGCATTGAAGAGCGTTGCAGTGACGCATAATTGTTATGCGTATGACAACCTTATTCTGTGTCTGTTGGGACTATGAAGCCATGGCAGGGTGGCCCAGTGCTAACAGTTATGAGTACCAGGATTTTAATAATGAGCTATGGCTTCGATACCTGAGATGAGTTCTGGTCGATTCCGCTATGTGGCCGGGGGGTTAGGCAACGCAAAATTGAAGTCGTGAGTTGCGTGTTCGAGACCCGCGGCAAGCTGTGAATGTTCTGCGAATTTCAGAATCGGCGACAGGTCTAACGTTTTAATCAACGTTGACACCTCTATACTATAAAATGCAAGAGATACGAAGAATTATAGAAATGTATACGGTCGCTTGATTCGTGTCATTAACATGGCTATTGTATCTCCTTTAGAAATAGCCTAATTGGCGACCGAGTTAGCTACAAGCATCGTGCTAATTGGAGCCTTTGAACGGACGTAACACTTCGCTTAGGGATTCAATAACCGACCTTTAATGCAATTCCTTGCTTTGGGGTGGTAATATGAGTTATCGCATTCGACAGGTTGATTTAATCAGCTTTTCTCCCTGTGTAAAAATTAAAATGAACCCTATATTGCATAAACAGTTTGTTGATGACTATAAAATATCATATATTTCCTCTGCAGCTCACTTAACTGCAGGATTCATTAGTTCGATTCCGTTCTAGCGTTTTGAACATTCATGATAGTTTCTTTCGAGTCAGGTGCTGCCAAAGAAATAGATGAAATGCCCTGATAATTTGTACTGCAACTACGTTGCTATTACGTACATGGTGCGATAAGCTAGTTCACTTGAGAAAAAAAAAACGAACGAACACCTCGAACCTCTGAATTTTTCTATTCGTTTCAAAGTTCTGCAAACATTAGTACCTATGACTTGTAATATTATGTTATGCTTCTCTCGATGCAGAGCGAGTTCGCTTCCTCAGCAAAACCTTTTCAGCTCCACGGGTTGTCTGGAATCCGTGGGAACACAACTCGACGCCTAGACCAGCCTGGAGCACGAAATTTTCTCAAGGTATTTTAAATATTGAAAGCGGAAGAAGGCTGGCTGCAAGGCGGCGATAATCCGAGAGCACTGTAAACTTTTCCGGAATCTTTTCGGTTAGCTTATTTTTGGTCGCCTGCAGCATCTTTGCAGAGGCACACGCTACTTGCGGTGCGGTGCGCCTCCTGCTTGGGCTTCTTATGATAATAAGATTACCTTTATCAGTTCACGGAATACTTTAGCACGCCGTCTACTGAATAAGATTACCTTATATCCGTCACGGAATTCTTTGGAACGGCATCTACTGACAATAAGATTATATTTTATCAGTTCACGGAATACTTAAGTTTACGTGCGCGCGTTATGAATACTTTGGTGATTGTCTGTTTCATGTCAACGTGGGCCATTTGGCTGTTAGGTATGCGAATGTTGATTTCCTGCGTCATGTTCTTGCAGGCCGCAGGTCTGCATCATCTGAATGTAAGTTGGTGATGTGCAGATTGTCTACGTAGGCTGATGGTTTGTTTTATGTATATGTTGTATATGTTATGTTTTTCATAATTCAATTTGTATGTTATGTTTTTTTTCATAATGTGCGAATTCATTTCGTCACCATTAGTGCCTTACTGGTAAAACAAGAACACAAGATATCCATTCACTGCCGTATTCAAGACAAAGTGATGGTGAATTTTTGTGGTATTTTCTTTGCTTTTAAATTCCGCGTATTCAAGACATCATGCATACTGTTTGAAGTGTTCCCTGTTTTAGACGTATCTGTTTTGGATGAACAGGTCGAGCAAGAGAAAATACCGCAAAGTATTTGCAAGCTCTGCTCTGCCAGAGGCGTGACCTGGCAAGTTCGGTCCTAAGACACAGGACTTTGCCTACAAAGTTGTTTAGGTTTTCGCCGAACAAAAACAAAACGTTCAAATTTCGTAATACGTATTCCCGGGTATATTGTCGTGCTGGATTTCAATGCTTAATCTGCACAAGGTTGTTCAGCTCTATTTCGAAACAGCGTTGCATGAGCTGTAGTAGCAATTCGTCTTGTTTTATGCATTACAATAGATTAAAACAGCTTTAATTATGTTTTCATCCATACAGATTTACATAGATCGTGGAAGTTGATAACCATTCAGAATTTAAGAATTCCGACGGGTTAGGAGAAGCAAAGCTCAACATCGTTAATTTATTATTTATTTTATACGTGTATGTTACCTGTCATTCAGAATTCAGGCATACAGGCTTGCAGAATAAAGCAAATCGATTTCAATCTCATTATACTGAACTAAACCATTGATAATTGCATTGAGAGAGCACCGTGAAACTATAATAAATGGACTGTCCTGTCTTTGGTACTGCGTGGCTTAGGCAGATTGTTCAAAATTATTCGAAAAGTACATGACCGTGCAGCACTTGATTACCATTGTCTTGTAATCACCTTGGAGTAACTCTATCCCGTTACTCGTCTCATCATTAACTCCTTAGACTGTTAATGATGACTGACTGTTGATTACTAATCGCGAACTAACATACCGGTATTTAAAACCTCCAACTCCCTTCATTAATCCACATTTGGTTTCCGAGAACACACATCTATGCAGTGACTACACCATTACTATGCAGTGACTACACCATTGCAATACACCTGCAGTAGTTCGGAGCAGCGTCATGCTGTGTATCAGGAGCGCACAAAGCTACGCTGTCTGGCAGCTTCAAAGTCACTCTGTTTTGCATCCAGAGCCTGAGAGCCAATGCATCCTATTGATCAGCATTGTTCGCATGAACACAAAATGCAATTTTGTAAATTAATTGAAACAATTGACTGTCAGTTGCACGGTAGCAAGTTCTCCTCTTTGGGCTTCGTTAGAATCTCGAATTGGTTACAATTTTCTATGCTGGATAATAGAAGCTGCCAAAGGGGCCACCATCTATCAGTCGTTATACTGCATGTGTCGTTGCAAAAATAATTTGTCACGCAAGCATTGGATTCTTTCATCGCAGTGAAAACCTACGGTGAACGGATTTATCTCTTTAAAACTCCTTCAAGTTATCATGCTTCAAGTCGAACATCATGAAACCAGATTAATGACATGACAAAAGACAAAGAGAACATGCAAACTTTCTATTTGATCAACGAAAATAAGGTAGACATGCGAAATATTTGTTAAAACACGAACACTACAAAAATTCAAAATATTTAGTCATGCCACGATAACAAAAAGATCATACAATCTATTTAATCAAGCTGTAATAACAAAGAAAACTAGAAAAAAAATCATTCAAGTCATGAAAACAAAGAGAAAATAGAAAAATTATTGAAGCCACGCTCAAATATTTTGTCTCCGAGATTATTTTCTGCATAAGTATGAATTTTATTCGAGTACGGGCATTTGATTTTATGATGGAAGGACAGCATTTCTTCATATTTCCTTATCATGGTCTTCAGATTAATTTGTCTTCAGAAAAAGTTGTTCGCTCAATGCTCGTTCAATTTGGCCAACCAATTCTTCAATGGGAAAATGGTTAGAGTTCTGAGCACTTAGTGATGGCAAGAAAATTGACTGGTCTGTGAGGCCGGCACAAAATATTCATTTTCAGACTGAAGATGGGCAATTTATATATTTGCAAACCCAATGCAGCGGTCCACGCTAACGTATAATCGAATCTTATACATCTCTGACATGTAGTGCAATGTTGCTGTGCATTTACATTTAAAACGTTTTCACGCGTTTTCTGCTTCACACTATTGAAGCGAGTCGATTACGTTTATTAATTAGTATATTGATTTACCAAGTAGTAAGTGATACAAGTACTACAACAGAAAATTTAAATATTTTCACAAACTTTAACATGATTCCGCTGCTCGAAATTTGAGAAATATTTTTGCCAGTAAAAGTTCAAGAAATCCAGGCTAAGGGCACACCGTAAAAAAGAAACCACAATGCATCAAAGTCACAACACATAAAATACACCACCTCTAGTATTCCAGTCTTTTTCTGTTACCTGAGTTACTTTCAAGCATCACCACTCATGTCACCAGAGTACTTCAGGAGCAGAGAATCGTTTTAACTTATTAAAAATTGGGGTTTATTCCGCTGCGAATACTCTTTAAGCAGCAACATGGAGAACATATGGCATGAATATGGCATCATTACATGTAGCGGGCAGTAATGGACCATGCACGGCATGCATGAGACATGCCTTGCCAGGAGTATGTAGTAAATTCCACATGCCAAACACAGAGAATTAGTCTAGGAGAGATGCTGCATAGAGCAGATATGTGGAATGTGATAAATGTAGCAAATAGTAAATGCACAGCGCAGTCAATTTGACCTCCTGTAATTGTGACAAACAGTGATTAAGTTTTACTGGTACTGAGGCGGCTAATATTGAGAGAAGTAATATCATA